TATAGTTATTCTCTTCTTACAAGTTCTGAAACAAAATCCAAACAACCAACCTATACTATAATAGATAAACTGATTATGGTATATTTATACAAGTAATATAGTACAATATTTGATGATAACTGTATTCATGGACATGAAGGAATCATACAAACAGAATATTAAGCCAAATAACCCAAAATCATAAAAGATTTCATGCTGTATAACATATTATATCACCTTTTAAAACAGTTAAAATTATTCTGTGTTGTTGAAAATACTAATAGTGTTTACCCCTATCGTGTTCTATGCAGAATATGAAAAATCACTTGTGATATTCTGTTTGTTTCACCTGATTGAATCATTTCATATTTAACTTTGGGATTGTATTTATGATGTTATTAATAAACACATTAATTGAGTTTAAGAAAATCTGAATTATTCTAAGTTCCTAGACCAGAATGTGGTGGAAACTGTGATTAATTCTGGATAATCACCATCTATTTATCTATTTAAAACAGTTCATAAATCTCCACAGAGTTTAGATATATTTCCAAACCCACCTGTGGTTGGGGATGTAGCTTTTTGGTATAGAGTCTTCAACACCCTAGTTTCACACCCAGCCATGCAAAAATAAATAAGTAGCTATGAAAATAGTATTACAATTACTTGTCTTTATATTTTTAATTTTACATGAGAATGTATATTTCAAAGATTTCCATGCATTTTATCTATTTTTCTATTTCTTTAGTCTTTATTAAATAACAATATTCTGAGGTTGCTTACGACTGTTAGTAGGGAGTTTATGGACTGTTTATTTATTTCAAGATGGTATAAAATTTTTTTTGGTACTGTGGATTGAACTATGGTCCTTGCAATTGCGAGGCAGGCGGCAGAATCACTGAGCTAAATCCCGGCCCACGAGGGTACAAACTTTCCAGTGACTAAATTTCCCACAGAATGTCTCTTCAAGGAAAATACACATCAACATCTAAGATATGAATACTCAACAAAATTCAGATGTGTATATGAGCTACATTTGGAGACTATGTCGCAGAAGAAATATAGCCGTTTCTGGACTTAGAGTGAGTTTATGTCCCAAAAACCCCACTGTAATCTGAAAATACCCTAAATAAATAATTATCTTACCTTTAACCATCATAGCCTAGCAATAAAATGTAGTAAACAATACTCACTCTTTGCTCAAGTCCTCAAGCGATTGACGGGCTGACAGGTGCCAGCCTCCCCAGGGCCCAGTGTTACTAAAGCTACCCCAGTGGGTGATGTTAGATGGGAAAAGATCAGAATTTAAAATTGAAAATAGAGTAACTACTGAATGTGGATTGCTTTCCCATCACGCTGAGGTCCAATGTCATCCCTGAAAACATTGTAAGGCAGAGATTGTGCATATCATGTCTTTCTGTTACTTATTTTTAAAAGAAAATCATTACTACATACTTTCTTAGGAATAAAAAAAAGAGTGTTTTCTGATATTATTCATATTAGCTGATGGGATGCTCAGTTTTACTAATGTTGAATCAAATATTCTACATAGTTCCTAACGTTTGAATGAAATAGGATTTGTTGCAAATGCATTTCCACAGTGAAGTTTCCTGTTCAGATACGTGGTTCCACATAATAACTTTCCATCGCGATGGGTACTAGAGGCCAAAAATATAAAAATACACCACACATGCACAAAACTAAATCCAAGAGGAGTGTTGTCTGTAGGAGAAAGTAAATACAGGAATGAAATATATATATATAAAATATTTTATAATT